AAAAAAAAAAAAAAAAAGAATTAAAAAATAGAAAAAAAATACAAAGGTTGCGCTTTTAGGTATTAAAATTCAAATCCACACAATAGTAATCCCACTGCTGAAACAAGAACCAAATGTATGAATTCCTTTCGGTCACATTAGGATGGAAGGCAAGGCGGAAACTTTTAAAACCATAACTATTTGTTAAACCTAGAAATAATTGAACTAAAGGAGTTGGCGGGACAACGTGACTTTCCTTCAAAACGTGACTAGATAAATACCTTCTCACTTGACAATGGCTGGCGATCAGCTGGGCATGTCGGCAACGGCTGTCTGAACAAATAAAATTTACATATCACATGTAAATATTTATTCAACCGTTGTATTGTTTCATTTAATAGAAGACAAATGCTTCGATATCGCTCTTCTGTTTCGTGCTGATCGTGTTGAGAGAAACCCTTTATATACTATACACAACACGAAGTGTTGAAAGGCTCGCAAAAATAAAACACAGGCTTTACAAATAGCGACCTGTTGATCATTTACATGCGACATACTTATGCGATACATATTGTTATTCTATTCATAGTTTGCATTGTTAACCTCTGACGATTTCTCGAACTGACACGTAATATCAAGTTAATCAAATTCTCCTCCTAAACCACAAAATTACCAGGTTTTTCAGGCGAATCGTAGGCAAATATCGCCCATCTCAGCTATTCCTTTGATCATACTGGTTATACGGGTGGCAAAATCGTTTGATTATTTATGGCGTTCACTGCGCCTACCTCAATAAGGATTCCATTCAGGTTTTACAAAATCTATGTTCACATTCTACATTCTGTGACATATCTTTCATTCTCAAGTGACACACAGTACATTTTCCGTCCATAAAAGCTCTGTTTGAGAACTGGTATTCATACCCGCAGAAATTTGCCGTGATTTCGCACCCACTCACTGGTGTCCCTCTCGTTTTCTTCTTTCGGACCGGAAGTCTTCGAACATGCGTGATCAAACGTTCCATTCGATACTTCTGTTACTCCACGCCAATCAACATCTAGAAAACAAGATATCGCGTGACTTGTTAAGCATTTAGCCCTTATTTTCGAGTGGAAGCTAACGATTCTAGAAAAGAGAAGGTTATCTTGGCGAAGTACGAGTCTCCAAAGCCTTGATGAATTAAATTGATTCAGTCTAACATCAACATATATGAAAATCGTCGTCGTGCATGCCCCTTTCAAACGGTGAGCGAAATTAGATGCAATTATATTAATCATCATGAAAAATGTATTACCTGCAGTAAAAGGCTTTTACAAAAAATCTGCGAGGAGAAGCCAGACCTGGTGAGCGTGAATTTAACCAGCGACCAGCTTGTATGTAAGGTCATGTAATCCCGAAGGCGATGAAATATTGGGCTGTGGACTCCGGTCACGCAAGGAACCGTCACGTCAGGCCTTTCAGTATTGCAGCTCAGCTCTTCACCATCGCCCTTAGAAGTAGTCGGCTGTGAAATTTTCTTCCCTTCCTTTTAGTAGGACCGTCGGCAAGTTTCCCATAGAACTATTTAGTATTCTTAAGCAAACCCCTAATCGCAGACGAAGGAAATCCATCGTTTTTTTTGTTTGTTTTTGTTTTGGTTTTTTTTGTTTTTTTCCAAAGAACTGTATTGGTAATGAAGTATGGGGTCATACGGAAATATTGCCTGAAAATTTCCGTTTCTGCGGTGAAGTACTTTTATAATAGCAACTCCCTATTGCCAGACGCTTTGTAACTTTGCAAAGCAAACCAGGAATATCTTTGTTCGATATCATTTTGCGAGCGGGAACATACACAATTACATAACATGTAGTGTGGAAGAACTGCGGAAATGTCGACTCCATAAATACTGCTCGGGTGCAGTGTGTTTAATAAGGTTATTTTTTGCGAAATTTGATCTTTGCTATTGTGAGATTTTTCTCTTTGATTAACCTCTGTAAATAATTTATTCATCTCCAAGTTTAGCTTGCCCACAAAGGCTTAAGCGTTCGTTTTGATTTCCGGACCCACTCTTCCCCTAGCCCCATTCAAACCCGGGTTGGCTGTCTTCATTCTTCAAGGAAAAGCGAAGAACACTGAGGATCGGAAGAATTTTTAGCACTCTACTGTTCAGGCGGTGATTCTTATCATGGTGTTTGTGCTACTGAAGCAGGTCAATAAGAAAAAAAAAACTTTGCAGCAAGAATCAGGGTTGTGGGATTGTCTAGATATTAAAAAATTAAGCCATGTTTCCTGTTGGGTGTCGGAGGAGGTTGGGAAAAGAACTCTCCTCTATACTTATAGGAATATGCTTTTCTAACAATGGGATTAACTGGCTTTTAACTGGTTTTAATTTGAGAACAGGATAGCTAGATTTTAACCACTATGCTATCAAAAAATTCATGATTAGTATAATATTATTTTATGGGGACCAGTGTCCAGAGCATGTAAATTTGTTTGTCTTTTGAAGTCTGTATGAAAAATATAGAATTCGAGAGAAGGTTCCAAAATATATCCTTTGATCAGAATTTTGAATGAATTCAATTTCAACAATTTCCAACCTCAGCAACAATGCCTGAGGCTGAAAATGTTGACAGGTATATTATTTATAAATCTACAAGAAAGTACAATGAATTTGAAAACAAGGTAAAATGTTCAGCCACTTCTGAAATGCATATGATTTTTGAGGCCTGGCTTGTTCACAGGTAAGGAGAATTCATCATCTTTCAGTCCAAACTGGATTGGGATGCGGAGAAGTATTGCAATTAATGCAGCTGACTTCCTGCTAAGATTTCTGAGCTTTAAAGAAATGTTTTGTTGGAGATAAACTCTTTGCAACCAGTTGAATTCAGGTCTTAATCAGACCAGACCACCAATTTGAGATTCTTCAACCAAGCAAATCAGCTGTGTAAAAGTGGACAACAATTAAGTTTATTTCTCCGATCTGGTACAAACTATTACTGGCTGCTTAAAAACACACTTTACCCTGAAGTCCTTGCAATTTCAAACTATGATTCTTTGAACAGTTGAACCAAATGACCACTGAGGTATTATATAACTTGATTTTTTTGCATGATGGTGCACAGATGTTTATCTTTTATGGCTCTGATCAATGCACATCTAGCTGTGCCTTTTTTTTTTTTTTTACTTTTTTGTTAGTTTCACCTCATTACAAATATGCCATTGTTTAATTTTTTTTCTTTCTAAAGCTTGGTACAATTAAGTCACAAAAATGAAGTTTAAACAAAACCTAGTCAGGGGTATAGAAAGGGTAATTTGGAAAGAAATATGTTAACAAAAACAATAAGGCATTTTACGGTTGTGAACTTATAGTTGCCAAGCTTTTGATTTGCAGTAAGGCTGAAGGTGACCATATTGTGATAGAGACCAATATCTTGTTAGCATGATATCAAAGTAACTTACATTTAAGAAGCTGGAACATGTGTATCATTAAAACAAGGTCAAACTTGTAGCCTCACTCCTCTTCAAAGGCTTGGCAACCAAGCAGGCAAGTGTAAAATGGACTATTCAGACACAATGCAGCTTCAGCAATTAATCTTAAACAGTATGATTCCCCCTATCTTTATTACTATGTAACTCAGGGTTCTAACTCTTAAAAGCTTGAAACATGTCTCAATAAAGGCCATTTTACAGTTGTGTACTTAGTTGCCAAGCCTTTGATTTGGAGTGAG